CTATGAGCTCTGTCATCGTTACCTCCCCTCCCTTGGCACCCTACTTGCTATAACCCACCCNCTTATACCCACACGTTCTCGTGGTGATCCGCCGACGGATCTGCGGCCCCAACCCGGGCTTGGTCGTCAGCGCGGCTCCTTCCTGATGTATGTATGTATGTAAATGTACGGATGGATGGATGTGACCACATGTGTGGTAATTTAACACACAGCTGACTTGCCAGGAGGTCCATGACCCACGGGTCGGTGACATCAGACGGGTCACCAAACTGACCAGGCGTATTGGCCTTATCGCTTATGTGGATGTAGGTGTGTGTTTTGATAATCTTCGAAGCTGCGAGGGTGGCAGGAAATGCCGAGGGGTGGCGGTGGTTCACGAACAACACCTTTGGTGGTTAACAGAGTCCTGTGATGGCTCCAGAACCCACCCTTCCAATACCACCGGTGGATTGGGGGAAGGTGTCTGGTTTGCCGTACACGTTGCGATCTATATGCCGTGTAAACATTGTGATCTAATCCCTTTCCAGCACATGTAGCCAGTATGTAAGTATGTATGTGTATATGTACGGCGGTTTCCTCTGCAGCAGCACATCAACACACGAAATAAGAGGCGCACCTCCCCAGGGCATTTCCCGATGTCTACTCCCACCATGTGTGTGTATTGAGGTTGGGGGGAGAAGAACCATAAACCACGAAATGGAATTACAGCCCAGTAATAAGGTATATAAACAAATAAAATAAAGCAGTGACCCCCAGTACGGCACATCAGCCCCACTCCACACACCGTACAATCCCTGTACACACGTTGAAGGGCCCCTTCCCACGCAATCCGGCGCCTCATTACCTCAGTCATCCACCACATTCACACACTCCAGCTGTAGCAGTCGCTCACCTGACGGGAGGACTGACAGAGCGGAAGCGTGGAGTTATTAGTCCTCACCGATGTAGGAAGAAGTCCAACCAAGCGGCAAGCACTAGCGTACATAAGATGTGTACGTAACGGTTAGAGACGGCGGCAGCAGAGTCTTGAACTCCGAACACCTAGTAATGTGATACGTCAGTGTCTGGCCAGAACACCCCGCCCGGGTAGCTTATATCTCGGCCTACCTGCCGGATAATCTCTACTACGGACTTTGCCGTACTAGGATAATGTTGGTGGGGCCCGGGGCCCCAGCCCGTTAGATTCGCTTACGAACAGCTGCCCAGTTCGCGACATGTGACGAAACTCGGAACATGTACGAAACTTGAGTCAAATCGTTTACAAATTAACAGTTATTGTTAAAAGTAATCGTTAAAATATTCTAAGGGAAATGTAGCTTGCTACAGTCTCCCCCCTCTGAAGCGAACCGTCCCGGGAGCGTCACTTCTTCTTAGAAGATTTCCGTCCCTTGGGTTTTTCCGGGGCTTGAGGGTGTTTCTTAGACGCCAGTTTGCGTTCATATTCGTCGATGGATTCAGCCAAGGGGGTAGACTGGCGAAGGGATTCCTCTGGTTCATAGGTATTATGACTAGAGTCGTAACCTTCCCATTTAATCAAATACTCTCGACGTGTCTTTCCACGTCCCCCTCGGACTGAAACATCACGATGGTCGACAATAGCTTCGACCATAAAATACGGCTCACCCTCAATGACGAGTGGCGCCGGCGGCTGTCGCTTTACGTCTTCTTTGTACAATTTCAACAAAGAGACGTGGAAGACCGGGTGTAGGCGGGAGGCCGCCGGTAAGTCCAGTTTTACCGCAGCTTCGCCCACGCGTGCGACAACCGTGTATGGGCCGATGAACTTGGGCATCAGCTTCTTAGTTCCAGGGGTTTTTAATGTAATATTTTTAGTAGATAACAGCACTTTCTGCCCAACCTCGTAACGCACTGGACGCCTATGCATATCGGCGTCGTCCTTTTGGACTTGTTGCGCAGCCAAGAGACACTTTTTAGCTTTGCTGATACGCTCACGAAGCATCGCTTCTTGCTTCTGAGCGGCAGGCACCTTGGTTTTGAGGTGAAGGTCAACCGGCACACGTGGTTGTCGAACACCATTCAGGGAAAATGGAGTTGTCCCCATTGCCTTCTGTTTTGAGTTGTTTATGGCAAACTCAATCAGTGGCAAATGCTCATCCCAATCATCCTGAGTGGGTGATATGTAGTGCCTGAGTGTCTCTTCCAGAACGCGGTTCATGCGTTCCGTTTGCCCGTCTGTTTGCGGGTGAAAAGCTGTGCTCATATAGAGGTGGGTGCCCAACAGGCGAAATGTTTCCTTCCAGAAATTACTTGTGAAGCGAGAGTCCCGGTCTGAAATAATGTTCTTTGGAAGGCCGTGCTGCCTGAAGACGGTAGCCACAAAGAGGCGGGCTACATCTTCAGCTGTAGCGGTTGTGTGTGTGGGAGCAAAGTGCGTCATTTTGCTCAGCCGGTCCACGAACACTACAATCGCATCGTGCCCATTGCGGGATGTCGGTAGCTGCGTAACCAAATCCATTGTCACGCTTTCCCACACCTCCGTTGGAATGGGAAGGGGCTGCAGTAATCCACCCGGCTTAGCATTTGTTGGTTTATTACGCTGACATTGGGGACATGATTTGACGTGTTCTTTAACGCCAGAGTCAAGCCCTGGCCACCAATATGATTGTGCGATCGCTTGTTTGGTGCGGTCTATACCGCGGTGGCCTGCGTAAGGGACATCATGATTAGGGTTGGGCATTTCGTTAGAATTTTTTCCGTTCTAATCTAATTTCTAATTAGATTCTAATTAGAAATTAGGATCTAATA